CTGACTGACTGACTGACTGAACTAAACTAAACTAATTCATTAATGGAATCATGTAATTCATTAATTGGTTATTATTTTTTCCAGCTCTTATGGCCATACGAGTTCTCTTGGTACGTATCCACAATATTATTTTCTTAGCGTCAGAATTTCAAATGGATACTAATGGAATCATGTCTGTCATGGGATATTATAGGATCACGAAGTCAAGGAAGAAAACATCCTTTTTGTTACACTCATCGCTGCTGAATCAGGTCAGTAGACCATTATCATCATCATCATTATCATCATCATTATCATCATCGTCGTAATAATTATCATCATCATTATAATTTATTATCATTATCATCATCATTATCAAATCACCATCATTATCATTATCATCGTCGTAATCAATCATCGTGGTAATCATCATCATCGTCATTATAATCATTATCGTCGTCGTCATCATTATCATCATCGTCGTCATCATCATGATCAAGATCATCATCACATCATCAATAGCATCATCATCAACAACATCATCATTAGCGACGCAAACGCAATGACGACATAATCAGGCGCAGACGTCTCACGCTGAATAATGTGGGGTTTTTTTGGTTTCTTAGGAGTCCACACGATTGCATACGCCTACCCGAAGGTTAAAATAGTAACGACAGCAGTTGATCCAACGATAAACTCACTCTACCACATCATTCCTGGAATTGGTAGGTTCGATCTCGTTTGCTTGGCTTCATGACCATGTAGTTTTAACATTTCATTCTCGCGGGAAATGATTCCTAACGTCCTCTTCTGGTAATCTTAAGCAATATGCAACTTGATTGATCTCGACTCGTTTCTATCATAAACTACTCTTCTTGCGCTCAGTGTTGCCACCACTTAGTTGAGTTACATACGTTTTCAATAACGTGCGCGCGCGGGACATTCGTTGCACAAAAAAACAGGTTTAAGTTTTAGAGAACTTTTATAAAAGTGTTTCAACTCCCACGATCGAATGGTACGATTCTGCCATATATGACGCTTACAATACTCGTATTCTTAAGTCTTTATGTATTAATCTAGTGGTATATGATGAATTTGTTCTTGATGAATGATGGTTCGTGTTTCTCGCTTGAGGCTTATGATTTTCGGATTTTTGATGGAAATACATCTCTTACTTTCCTTTTATATTTCTGATTCCGTCAGTTTGATTTACTTTTTTTTCTCTCTTTATATTTCAGGAAACTTTGGTGATCGGTATTTTGGAACAGAATACAATTAACCTCATACACTAAACTAAAAGAAAATATTATATTATTGTTACCCGACATGCATCTTGCGTTCATGTCATGTGATACATGACGTCATGACTGATACCACGTGAACATTCTTGGTTCAAATTTATCAGTGTTTGGTTTACTGTCAAGAAGTTGCCATGAAGTGATGCACATTGAGAGGTGACTTGTAAAAGCGTAAAATTATCACAGCGATATAAACCCTAAACATACATTTACTGATGACATGCAGTCGTTATCTCTGCTGGATTACCCTAGGTCTCGCCTAAACCAACTCGAAGCAAACTAGAACCTCTGGAGTCCAAGGTACTGATAAGAGGAACCAAAAACACTCTGCTAAAACACAGCTCTACCTACTACCAAAACCTCCACCCCCCCCCCCTTGTTACTCAGTGGTTGCGTGTGTGGTTTGGTTGATATGTTTCCTGTGTCTTCAGATCATTTCAGGGAAGACAAATCTCTATCAAACAACATTGATCAGTGGGAGCGTAATATTGTCTTCTGTGCATGTATGGAAAAGTCGGTTGCTTAGTAACTAAGAAAAAAATCGAACATAATACAAGACCTTAAAGAAAAACTTATTTTTTACGGTATGAAATTTATTTTACATTAAGTTTTTACAGTTAGCTAATAACATTACAGTATCTTTCGTAAAGACTCGAATATTTATAAAAAATAACATTATTTTCTTTAAAACAAATTGTCAAATTTATATAAATAACATAATAATCAAGGTCTGAATCTCATAAAGTTTACTTTGGAAATGATATTAAAAGAACATTAAACTTTAGCGTTGTTTTGAGCTGTTTACTGAGGTGGATTAGTTAATGTGGCTGGATGCGCATTCTCGTATAGTACACAACCCTTCTCGTTTCTATTCGATTTTTCGCTAGAAACGAGAAGGGTCTGGGTACAAGAATGCTCGATGCGTTGCTAGTTTAATCTGGGATTCTTTCTCCGCCACTGTCCACCGCACCTAGAATGCATGTGATGGCCTAATGGGCACATGGAACTCAGTTTTTAAAAAAATTTCAACAACTGAATATGTTCACGTTTCATTTATGCATCAATAGCTAAACATCCTAATTTAAAACCATACACAGACCATACACATGTTTACATAACATTGATTTATGACCATTGCACTTGTATTAAATAAATACTACATATTTGCTTTGACTTATATTTGCGGTCCGAAATGTTAACTCAAATTTCCTTCACAGAAAGAAATTTATCGCGGCTCGGATTCCATTTTTGTGTGCTTTCTACCTCGTTCCCTAGGCATCATGGGAATGATCGGGTTCGGCTACATGCGATCACTACTACTTAGGTAAATTAATTGTATCTCCACTCGTATCTTCACGGACAATTTTCATGTTATCAAACTGGCGAACAGTCTTGGTTATGTCCTTGATAATCTTACATCCTCTTCTAGAAGACCTCGAAGACGAACGCCCCGTCAGTGAGTTATCCGAATCAATTCTGGGCAATCCTGTCAGGCTTTCAGGCGCAAGGACTTTCTTCTTGTGTGCATGCGCAGAATTCTTGTACAATCCATGTAGTTTAATGCTCAACTCATTAACTTGGTTGAACGAGACCCCAACTCTACTAGAAGGCTTTCTATTATCTGGAGAATATGTGTTGTCTAGTTCGGGCTTTTTGTACTGAATTGTTTTATACCCTGGGCGATAGGAGCCAGTCGTTTGTTGATTGTATATTATGTACAATTTTTCCAGGTTTTTTTTCACGGGCGTGAAGAAGGCCGGTGCGAGTATTCTATCAGGAGCTGTTGCAGGTCGTTGTTTTAGTGAAGTTTTTGGTAAAACAACCCGTCGTGTTTCGAATTTCTTAGCGCTTCCTGTCTTTTGAAGCTTTAGTTTTCTTTGTACCGTTTTCTGCCTTCCATACTTTCTTAAATAAGCTGAAGGTAATTTTAAACCTTTTCTTTTTGTTGGATTAAGTTCGTCTCTCCACTCTGAAGCACTTTTTTGGAATTCTAGATCTCTGGCTTCAAGCGATGCCTTCCCTTGGCGAACCAGGACATCTGCAATTTCACGCTTTTTTGACTTCAAAGCATAAATAAGTGGCGTTTCTCCCTTTTTGTTCAGAACATCTATTTGAATACCATAATGCAACATCATAGCAACCAGTTGCTTAACAACGTGCACATCTCCAGCATTAATAGCATGAAAAAGAGCTGTATTTCCTTCCTCATCACTGGCATTCAAATCAAAATCAACCGTCTTGATAAACAAGCGAAAAAGTCGTTTTCTGTTGAGCAAGCAAGCGCTCGACAGCGCCGTACGTCCCTCGTTATCTTTCAAGTCAAGATTAGCGCCTCTTTCAAGAAGAACGTTTGCCAGTCCAGCTGCTTTGGCCTCGTCGTCAACAAAACAAATCTCCATCACTGGGGTTCTCCCGTTGGGACCTCGTCCATTAACGTTGCAACCTGAATCTAAAAGAAGTCTTGCTTGTCGCCATCGTCTCTGAAGAATCGCCTGCATTAGAGCAGACATCTTGAAGATAGATCTCTATACTGCTTCTGTAAGGCCAGACAAATCGTTTTAATTTGCGATAGCCAACTCAGGAAGCCAGTTAAATGCGATAAAAGATATTTACGTTGAACGAATTGAATCGCAYCAATAGGCAGCTTGCTGTGTGGGATTAACACCAAACAGGTGCTATGTTACAATCTCATTCTCAAAATTTAATATCCTTGGCAGATGCGCGAATTAAAGACTGTAGAAATTCTTAAAAGGCATTGATTCGTGGACTGCTCTAGCACTCTTTCTGATTCTCTTTGTTTCTGAAATCGTGATTCTACAAAAAATCTGCTGGATATAAGAATGAAAGAGATAAAGAAGTCAACTTGTATGTTAATGCATGTCACGAAAAGTGTTGTCTTTCCCAGTGACACCTATCATACGAGTGAAAATAAAAAAATGTCTAGATAGAATATTCAAACATTTAATATTCCATGATGCGAGAGCTTAAAATTAAATGCCTAGCACTTTAGTATTTAAAACCTTAGTTTATAGTTCTAATTTTTTTGCTTGCTAAGAAGCATTTAATTTGGTCCGATTTGCTGTGCGTTTGTGGGAAAAGCCTGGCCGTGATAATGAAAAAATAACATAATTTACAGAAATGTAATAAATAAAAAAGGTGATTAGAATCTAATGTTAATATTGGCAAACGAAATGATCCGCACTAAGTACATATACATTTTGTAGTAAATGGCATACTGATCGTCATAGTCATAACCTTTTCTTAGTCTACCTATCAATACTGACTTTCAGCAAAAATAATGCTCTCGGCATTCTGAAAGCCCTTTAAAATTAAGATGACTGAAAAAATTGTAGTTAAAATCCTTATATTATACCCAATAATTTTTCCACAGGAAGGATTAATTCCTTATTTCATTTTCTCCATACTTTTCATTTTCTCTTATTTAAATTTTTTTGAAGCTTATCTCATTGTTGTTAAATCCTTACATCCTTTCGTTCTTTCTTTTCCTTTCTTTTATTATTATTTTTTCGCTCTTTCCGTTTGTTCTTTCTTTCATTCTTACAAACTTCTTTCTTAATTACTTCGTTTTCATTCCTCAATTCCGTTGTTTCTTTTTTCTTTCCCGTTTCTAGTCTTCCTTCCTTCCTTCTACTTCATTTATTCTTCATGCTTATTTCGTTTTTTCCTAACTTCCTTTTCAGTTTCTTTTAAATGCGCTTTCCGTGTTTTTCTAGTATTCCTTCCCACTTCCTTCTTCACCGAATACGTCTGTCTTGGTAGTTAGTTCGGTCGTCAAGCAAACGAAATTTTTCATATCTAATTTCCGCTTACTTTCCGATAGAAGTGACCACAATTTTTGCTGATTCTAAAAGTCTAGATAACGTCACCAATGACCTTTAAAATCTAGTCCATCCATCCAGCATATGAATATTTCTGTTTCCATGACAATTTTATGGCTCAGAGCTACCTTAAAAAAAAGGACCCAGCCTAAAATATCGCGGGCTCAACAGCGTGGTGTAATAAACAAAATGGCGGACCATTAAAAGGAAGGAAAAGATCTTTTCGAGCTTTGTGAATAAAAATGGTTAGTATAAATCCTATCTGTGGTCTTCTTAGTTAACCTATCTATTAGTTCAACGATTCTACTTATGAAAAATTGATACGGAATTGGTTTTGTTATTCAGGGGAAGAAAAAGAAGCCGTTTATTGACAAGAAAACTGCTCACAGTTTTCAAGTTGTTCATCGAAGTCAAAGAGATCCTTTACAAGCAGACCAGGACAGCTCAAGACATGTTCTTGTTCCCTTAAATACCGAAGCTCAGGTACAGAATATCATTACAATACTGTCTTACAACAGTGATTAGAAATTCCATTTTATGAATTTCTTCTGATCCGTTCACGTCTTTCTAATCCCACACTCACAAGCTTTATAGCCCATTCATTCAGTATTATTGTCATTGTCGTGATGAAGCGGTAATATCATAGTGTTATAATAATAGTCACTGCATTCAGCAATTAGTTCACTTAACGCTAAGGGGGTGTGGGGCCTAATAGGGGGGGTCTCTAAAGAGGTATCAAAGGCAGTCATGAAAAGTTCTCTAACCCCCACCCCAAAGCCAACCCCACCCCTCATTGGTGGAGGGGGGCATGGATAATTTCTGGAACCACACATTATGATAGTTAGGAATTAATTCTGTTGCCTTACAAGTTCCACTGTACCACCTCTCTGATAAAAAATTACACTGCCACAGCAGTTAAAGGTATTTAACGAGAATCATCTTGTTGATGTTGCAGGAAAGTTCTAAAGATGGAGAACAGTAAGTGCCAAATAAATTTCTTATTCTGGTCCAGAATTTATAACCACATATTTAACTACAATAATAATATTACTCAAACTCCATCCTTTGGGATTTGCCTTTTTTTGATGCTGCTCAAAATATAAAAGGTACTGACTGATTAATTTATTTCAATATACAACAGCAAAAATGAAAATTTACATCATGTTTTTCACCATATTTTATTTTCATTTTAAGTTTGGCACAATTAATTTAATTTTATTATTGAAATTTACGTAATCTCATCATCATTATCATCCTTTATGCCGGTGTGGCATGTAGGGCTGACACCAAGGACTTTCACTGATATGGTTATCCTTTGTGTTAGTTTCCATAGCAATAAATGATATGTGATGGAGTTGCTAGCCCCATACACATTGCCAGAGCCCTGTTAGCTGGCAATATAATCTAATGGAACCAATCTAATGATCATAATATTCATTTTATCATCTTAATTTTAGAGGGTCTTCAAAAGAAGAAAGAAAGGAAGAGCTAACCAAGTTTGGTATTGATTTTGAGGAYGATTATGACTATTTTCAACATCTAAAGACACGCACAGACTGCACTCTTGAACCATTACCTAGCAATGTTACTGTCATTGAGGCCAAGAAACCAGCAAGTAAAGAGGTATGTACTGTAACTAGGAACTAGGAATAACCACAGGTTAAATTTGTTGGTTTCATGATGCCTCTTACTCCGACAAAGGACCAACGTCCGAAACGTCAGTTTAACAAATCTTCTTATGGTGATTCAATTTATCCATAAGTTCCTACTGTTTTATTCAGAAACACCGATGCAGTCTACACTAGTTTTCTACTAGTTATCATCCACTGGTTTCATGATACAGGGCTTAAAACAACGGCCTCATCAGTTGACCACCAGTCATGATGACCAGCGAAATTAGTTTTAGCTTAGTCATACTTCAATTGATTAAATAAGTAAGTGATTGATTGACTTATTGTTTTATAGTTTGGTGACCTCAAGCTGCCTTCAGAGGCCTTCCCCTCTGTGTACGAAGAAGAGGAGGGTTTGTTAAACTTAGCAGCTCCAGCACCAGGTAATGTAATGAGAATCTATTAACACACTATGTATTATGTCGTACACCTTTTACTGTCTTTTAAAGTCTTGTCTTTAAAGACATACAGTATATCAAGTAATCTATTTATGAACCCGTCCTTTTTTCACGAGGGTAGCACTTAATAGCCAGTGGCTAACAAACCTGTGGCCCTCATTCCATGGTCCAATTGGAATTTAGGAGTTGATTTTTGCGGAGGGAGGAAAACCGGAGAACCCGGAAAACCCTTGAAGCACAGGAGAGAACCAACAAACAACTCTAGTCATATACAACACCAGGCCCGGCAGGACTCGAACTCGGGTCCATTGATGAGAGGCGAGCGCTCACACAGCTACGCCACCCGTGCTTCCAGAAATTAGATCTCCATGTCAGTTGCGACTTCTCTCTGTTCTGTATTGCTTTAGCTTTAAATATCAGTAATAAGGAGCACTGATAGTCTGAGGGTGTAAAGTGTGCACCTTTGAGCATTTTATACATGAGCTGTCTCGGAAGAATTGGGCACCCTACCTCCACATTATCGATGTAAAAAATTAGCTTTACTTTTACCTTTTTTAGACCAATGTTAACTATTATTATCCTTATTGTTCTCATAATAATTTCAGGTCCACACCCAGAGTGGGATCCCGATATTGTGGCTGCACTGGATGGTGACTTTGATCCAGATGATCCCGATAATGAGTTAGAAGATGATTTTATACTAAAGGTACATGGTTATGACAAGTTATCCCCCTCCACAAATGCTAACAAGCTAAATCCCAATTTGATGTGTAAGGTAGCCCCTCCCTCTCCCATTTAGGTAAACGATTCTTAAATTAAAGGTTTCTTATGTATTTTGATAAAATCTTTTTGTAGGCAAATAATCCAGTATCTGAAGACATGGACAGGTACATTTCAATGACTTTCAGTTACTTATTGTGTATAAATGATTTAGTAGAATGAAACTTTATACATCTATTTAAAAAACGTCAGTCGGAGATCTAAAATCTAACACCAAGTAAGATGCTGCAAAATGTATTAAATTCAATGCTGAACAATGTAGTTTTATTGTTAGATTGGAATGTAAAGCGTGACCTCTTTAAATTAGGAATGTGATTTTTCATATTTTAGCCAGAAAACATAAAAGCACAAAAATTCTGGTTCAGTCTCAGATCGCCCATTTCAACAACTGACAACTGACAACGTTTCTTAAGGTGTATAACTTTATGTTATAAACTAAGATATACAGTACTAGATCAATATAATACAATACTTTTATAATACACTCTAAAAAATTACTCGATTCTGATTGGATGAGAGGAGTACAATTAAATCCCAAATTGTACTCTGTAGAGTTCCAATTAAGTTGCTTAATTTTGTTGAGTCGCACAATCTTCTCAAACAATTCGGAATTTATAGCTACTCATAATGTTTTGAAATTTCTCAAATTTGACTCACCTAAAGAGTTGTCCAATTTAGAAAACTTTCAAAACATCCCTCGCACCTATAAATTCCAAATTGTACTCAAGATCGTGCGATTTCCTATACTAATGCCAACTTGACCAATTAAGTTTTTCACGCAATCGTTTGTTTATAACACAGTGATGATGACTTGATACGAAGTGATGATGATGATGATGATGGTGGTGGTGTTGAGAGATATTTCCCATCTGATGAAGGAGAAGACTTTGAGAATAATTCAGAAGGAAGTGGGTTCACTTTTGGTGATGAAGAAACAAAATCACGGTTTACTAACTATTCCATGACATCCTCCGTTATCAGGCGGAATGAAGGTTGGTGAAAATATCTTGTGGACCACCATATTTATATCATACACATGAAAGAATTACAACAACAACAACAACAATCTTTATTTGTACCTTGGATTACAACTATTATAAATATTTACTTAAAAGCTAAAATCAGTTAAGACCAAGTAACTATTAATTTAGAAAGTGTAGCTTTTACAATTTTCTTGAACAAATTTAGAAAATAAAGAAAACACACTCACACAGCTCAAACATGCTATTATTATAGAAAGATAAATTATAGATATAAAGAGGGAGGTATCTATGTATAGTTCTTAGCTAGTGAACTATTCTTTTTTAAAAGCAAGAATACTCCTTTTTACAGTTCCATTTCAGTGACGTGCCACGAATAATAGTTCCTAGCCGAGGCTGGAGTTACCACACATAGCAAAACTACAGTTTATCATGCGCAGTAACTCCAGCCTCAGCTAGGAACTATTATTCGTGGTCACTGAAATGGAACTGTAAATGGAATATTTTGTGTCAACTAATGATTAATACGATATCAGAATTTACTTTTGATGCTGCATTTAGATAGACTTGTTAGTCACCAGTAAGTTTTATTATTGAACTTCAGGATTAACCTTACTGGATGACAGATTTGAAAAAGTTATGGAAGAATATGATGAGGATGAGATAGGTGCTCTAGACCATGAAGAAATGGCTGGTAATGTGAATCCAGACAGTGAACTCCTGAATTCTTTAGTAGACGATTATGAAAAGAAGGTACCTAAAGTGAGGTAAGTCTAGAACAGATGTGGCCATAACAATGGCACCTACGTAATATGGACAGTTTAGAGACAGGCAGATAGACACCTGATAAATGCAGAAATCGGGCATTCTTTTGAAAATAGCCAAAAAAATGCATTATTACAAGTTTTATGCTTCCCAGGATTCACTTCACTTGTGTTGACACAGGCTTCCTAAATATYGATTGGCACCCACAACACAATGCTTGGGATCCAAATGTGTCCCAGGACTCACTTCACTTGTGTTGGCACAGGCTTCCTAAATATCGATTGGCACCCACAACACAATGCTTGAAATATCCATTTGAGCAGTTACATTTGTCTCAGGACCCAGATCCAAAAATCGTTGTGCAATCTCAGGCTTCGCTGTCAATAAAACAACAGTCTCTAACATGTTTCATGTTTATTGTTTAAGGTTTGCGGACATGGAGTGTGATGATAAAGCAGTCAGACACGAGGCAGAAAGCAGTGACGAGGAAAGTGGCAATGAAGTTGTCAAGATAGATGTAACGCCTAAGGAGCAATGGGACTGCGAATCAATTCTCAGTGAGTATACAAGATAAATAAAGAAAGTGTTCTTTTGTTGTAAGATTAACACCATGTAGTCTGTAGCCAAACCTGTGGCCCTTGTTCCGCGAACAAATTGGAATTTCAAAGTGTTGATTTTAAAGCACAGGCTTGGAGAGAACCAACGATTAGTGTGCCTCCTACTGGTGTAGTTTGATATTTATTTAATACTAATACATCATACATAAATAGTGTTTGTATTCGAGTAGAGTGCCCTTCAAATATCATTTATTTATTAAACAGGTACATACTCAAACTTGTACAACCATCCAACCCTGATCAAAGAACCTTCAAAGGTAAAATCCTTACACCTAGATATTCGACCTAGTTAAATTTACATGGCTTTGAATTTGACGTATCGTTACCACTTATATGAAAACCGCTCTATTAGGTACTTACGACAGCTGTTTACCGCCGTTTGCATTGCTACGCGGCCACCCCAGACAAAAATCGCGACGTGCACTTTGCAATAGACTGCCGTCAATCAAACACGTTGACGTCATTAACACGTGTGTGATTCAAAAGGCTCCAAAGCTTGTCGATTGTTTACAAGTATTATGAGTCACACTCACCAGGCCTATCCGGGCCGATCCAAACGCGTGTAAATGATGTCAACGCGGTAAAGAAGCTTTGGGTAAGCATGCTTTGCACTTCGGAAAACTGACAAAATTTGTACTATATTAATTAGGTGTTTTTTTTTTTGTTTTTTTTTTTTTTGTAACTTTTAAAATGTTGCAAATTAATAATAAAGAATCTTTGTAAAGATTTCTTGAAATTTTATTTTGATACCTTGTACTTCAGGCGAAACAGATAAAGCTATCAAACAAAACTGGTATACCGATAGGTGTGCTTCCTACAAAACCAACCAGCAAAAATAGTACAGATCAAGATGAGATGGACACAGGAAAGAACATATTAATATCTGGACCAAGAACTAAAGATGAAGATAAAGAAGCGAAAATAAACAGGAAAAAAGCTGTGAAGGAAGAAAGAAGGGTAGGAGAAATATGCCGACTTTATCATGCACTACGCATTGTTTTTCTGCTCGTTTTTTGCTGTGGTTCTTCATACAAATGCGTTATGCTGACCTTATCATGCACAACGCATTGTTTTTCTGCTCGTTTTTGCTGTGGTTTTTCATACAAATGTGTTATACAGACTTTATCATGCACTACCCCTCTTCTATCATTGAAGAAACATAATATCTTTAATAACTATCCAACCACAAAAAACGTGGTTCCTTCTATTTTTAACCGGACAACTTCCATTTCATTTCTCTCACAGGCGAGACGCGTTGAGAAAAAGACAAATAAGCTAACCTTCAAGGCAGAACGGAAGCGTCAAGAACAATCTCTACTAAACGCTAAAGCTCAAAAAGGACAAAAGCTTTAGATATTTATACGTTTATTATAGCCAAATGGAATCATAATCAATGGAACCTTTTATCTACAGTTGATGGCATTGACCAAGAGTGCATACACTTTGCAGTATGTCATAACATAGAAATGGCTTCCCATTGTTTCCTTGCGGTTCGCCTAATCAAATCAGATTCGGTCAGAGTAAAACATGATATTGCGACAGTACAGTTGCGAATGTCGGCGTATTTCCCGCCTAAAAAAATCACTATGCCTTGTAAAAACGTGTATTTAGAAGGGGAAATATTCTGTGTAAGTCTAAGTTGCCTTTCATTTTCTCTCGGTTGTGTAGCTGTAAAGTGGTTGCCTGGCACCACTATGCTCTGTAAATGAAACTAAGTCTCCTCGCAATTGAAACACCATAAAGAACTCTCAGTTTTTCCTACGCTACAGTTACTTCAATGTTAGTTTTATACATTTTAATACAAAATGTACTGAGGACATAAATTTGTTTTAATAATTTTTATTGATACAGTTTTAATGAATAAATATTGTGCAGGCATGCATTTCCTGGGTAATGCGCACCAAAGGAACATTGGAGTGGGGGATAAGCAACCCCACACTCCTTTTGGCTGCTATGCAGCAGGCTGTCCAAAGCCTGAAGTACATCTTGTTAGAGTATGGAGACTCATCTTCTCTTGTTGTCCTTCATGATTACCACATATCGTTGTGGTACATGTAGTGGAGGAGCAAAGCCATCAGCATACGACGTGTCTTCAAATGACACCAAATAGTCATCCTGTGGCTAGAAACAGTTCAGAGAGTCAATATCTAATTGTCGYGACTGACGACTGTCAGCAATCCCTATTGTCCCTCTCCAGACTCACTTGAGTTAGAAAGTCAAGGCAATACTCGAACATAGCTGGTCTGACATTTCATTCCTGTCAAGGGTCTCACTAATACTAATAGTTCCATCTAACAAAGCAATGCTATTATTTTATCATAGTACACTCTACTTTGGGTGGGTCCTCTCGATCCAATGCCCCAATGCAAAAGAGCCCCCAAGGCATAAACAGGAAAATATGGATTGGAATTGGCAAACAAACAAACTGAGAAGGTAAAATCAGATTCTTAGTTGGGATTCCTGTGGTCAAGAGTTGGTTCTGAGACTGAATGAAATATTATTGAAATTTCTTTGTACTCTTCGTCAAATAAAAAAGTCTATATGTATGAGTAGTTATACAGGATTAAACCCTGGTTGTCACTTGCGGCGCAAAACATAAGCTTGAGCGCAAGCAAAACGTATCCTTGTGCTTGAGTTGAGCCTGTTTTCATAATGAAATTAAGTCACCTACCCTGGCTGGCGGTTCGTGGATAACAGCTTTGTAGAAACACGTTGTCTGAGGATACAGCGCCATTACCACCTGGGAATATTCAGAAATGGTCAATGTTAGTACCTTTTTGTTCCAGTCCTGTCGGCTTTCCTGTGTTCTGAAAGGGTGCTATATAAATCCCGTCTCTCCCATTCTCAGTCGCTTGTGTCCCTGCTTTGCGATCGTGTATTGGGTTAAAAGAGTTGATACTCGGGCTGCAAAGTCTATTGCAAATCAACAAAAATACTATTTTCGTTCATGTCTCAGAAATTCTTTGTTTTTGAAGCTCGATTATGAAACGAATAAGGATCGTGGATTGTCCACCAAATATCTTTTACAAACGGACACACTTTATCATAGGTGGAATTTCTTTTTAAAGAAATCGAGTAGAAATGTTGAGCCGGTAATTTTTTTTAATTTTGAAAAGCAATAAATTGTGCGCGCAAATTCAGAATCATCTGAGGTTAACTCTGAGACTTGGATCTCGTGTATTTCCTTTGATCGCAACTTATTTCCGAGACAGTCGTAACAATACTGACAATATTTAGCATGATTACCTGGTCTTTCTGGAATAAGGCATTGGGATGAGTGAGTGGGTTTGCTTTCTGCTTGGGTAGTGGAACAACACGACGACGGCTGAGGTGGTGACGCCTGGAAACGAATTGATACAACATGAAACAAAATGATGCGCAAATATTGATATGACGTTGTACCCCCTCCCTTGTTCCACTCCCCTATCTCTTCCCTCCCCTGCCCCACTTCTCTCCCCTACCCCACTCCTCTCCCCTGCCCCTGGTGGACCCAATATCTACGAGCTGAATATTTCATCCTGTAAAAACACTAGTGTTATCGGTAGTGAAATGGGACTGTGATATTTGTTATTTTTTCAAAAATTGTTTTGTCCTCGGTGGCATCAAAAGGTAGTCGCGTGCGACATTAACGGGAACCCTTACTTACTCTTTTCCATTTTTACCCTCTTCATCGATGTCATCAACATCATATCTTGAAAYGTTCAGGAAAATTTTTAAACCTTAAATTTTAAATCGACCTACGGATGTGCACAGAAGGCTAGGATGATTATATATATTTATAATTCGAGGACTGAATGAAGAAAACATTTAGATAAGTGGTTTGCTTGCAGCCTGAAATTCCTACCGAATTACACTTGCTGCCAGACTAATTGGGCCAGATTCAAAAAGACTGGCGTAGTACCTAATACTTCTTGATGATAAAAAAAAACACCTTCATTTACCAACTGGTCGCCTCCGTCAACCGACCATGCAACCGTGGTAGTTTAAAAGGATACTTATTAGTTGAAGTATTAAATGAAACGATTTCTGCCAATATCCATTGTTCTTCGCCATCTGAAGTCTTGACACGCGCTGCCACCTGGAAATCAAACGTGGGTTTGGTAATTAAAATAACACGATCTGTTTGATTGTAATAGATGACTCTTTTTTCTCTCAAACCAATCCTAACTAATTCAATCTGGTTAGAGCTGTGCTCCTGGGTCATACACGGACTGTATAGCGGCTGCCGGAGGCGCCTTCACATGCTTCCAGTTCGACCTAGTTGAGCTGCACCACGGATGTACTTGCAGTGGTGATTAGAGATAACAAGTTTTTTACCAAAGAATGGTAATGAATGAATAAATGAACATGCATGACAACCTTGTACATACTTACATGGTCTCCAGGTTGAGCAATATAGTTACTATCTGCTTGCACAGCACCACATAATGGTGGAGAACTATCAATGTAAATTAAAACAATTAGCACAGTTGAAACCATTCTTATGGACACCTCCATATTACGGACATCAGCATCACATCAGTCTTACTAACTGAGAACTACATTGCAGACACCTCTATATTACATGCACTCTTCTCTCATGGTGTCCATATTATGGTTCTACTGTAATCAGATAATAAAAATATAAAAATATAATAAAAATATATTGCATAGTGAGTTTAATTCAGTGACCTACCTCTCTGATGCCTTGCCGATCATCATGGGTAGGTGAGAAGCAGCTTGTTGAAGCATCGTCATTAGCACTCCACGTCGCATTGCCTTTCTACAGTCAATGAAAGAGCGAATAAAATGGTAAATGTTAAAATAACTGAGGAGAAGGTGCTGCCCTTGTAATTATATCTTGTCTTCTCGGACAAGGACTTAAAACCATAAAGTCCTCCACTGCAATGTAAAGCACATTGAGACATTGTGAAATGCGCTATAGAAGAACTCCATTATTATTACTATTATTACATCAAAATATAGTTATTGAGTGCATGCACTAACCTCGGTTCTCCAGACTCTTGATTTCTACTCACTCCACTACGTCCTGGGAGAAAAAAATGACTGATAAAAAAAGTGCACATTTTACTGTATTAACAACTTGTCCCTTGAAATATGCAAGAGCTGATACAGCTAACTGTGGCCATTGCAGCTTATAGAAAAGGCAAGTTCTACCAATCTCTTATCAATGCCTCGATTAATTTGAGAGATTGATGTCCCCTTATGACCTCATTTAAGGCTGAGTCGCAAGGCTTTGCTGAAAATGGACAGCATTCAAAATACTGTGCGACAAGAAGCTGTCCGCTTCCCTCATAGGTTGAAACATTAAGCATGAGAGTACTGTCCCTTTTTCCAACACTTATTCATTAGTATAATGTTATTTCTAACCTATTCTCCTGTCATTTCTGAGGGCCTTGATAATAGCAATCTTGTCAAGTGCCTTTCTGATAATACTAGAAGATAAAAGTGCAAAGTAACTTCTCACGATTTATTTGATAGATTGTAGTCTATTGCCAATTTAACTTTCTCAAGTAACTCTTGTCTTGATCAGTCGTAGCATCCAAAACAGTGCTAAATCTCACTAGACCTGTAAAAATGAAATAAACATATAACATTGACATACTCTGCTTCTGCCTCAGCATCAGATGTCGCAGTCTTGTACAAACCCCGTAGTTTAGTTTTGAAGTAAGAAGACACTGCAGTGAAAAATACAATATTAGGAAGGGGAAAATACTGAAAAATGGGAAAATTGGATAAAGATGCAAATAAAACATCACACAATCTTTAACATTAAATATGAAATATTAAGACATACATAGACCCCTTGCAGTATGCTTGGATGGAGCTCGATTTGGAGGACATAACAAAAGGTTTGAATTCTTTTGTTTTGTCCTCCAAATTAAGCTGCTTTGGCATCACATGCAAGGGGTCTATTAAGCTGCTTTGGCATCACATGCAAGGGTTCTATTGAACCTGAGTATGAATGATTGAGCCAAGTAATCCTTTTAAAAGTATTTTGATACCAACCTTTTCCCTCTGTCTTCATCTTCTCATGAGTTTTTGCAATGTTATTGATGTTGTGTTCACTACGATTTCTTTCCTCCTACAAGTTACGATCAATTGGTTACTATCTAGCATTGGGAGTAGACGTTGACTGTACCCATTAAACATATGATATATCCATACATCTTTTACCAGGGGGGGAGGGGGAGGGAATCAAGAAAACTTGACTAAAAAGAAAAATCAAATACATCTTAGATTACTTCCAAAACAAACGGTTTAAAGATAGAAAACACAGGAATGATTTCAATATTCGCACCTGAATCTGTTGCACTAACGAGTGTAGCTCTTTCAACAACGAAGGAACAGCAGTGTTGTTTGAACTAGAAGAATTTGAGGCTACGTTAGATCCACCTCCACTGGAACTCGAAGCTACTGACGAAACTGAGCTTGGGCCTCTCGAACGACGCATATTTATGCTTTAGAACTATTTAATAAAGCGAATAAACAACAGAAAATTCAGTTCTTCATTCAAGTCCTGCCGCCATATTGAAAATAATTTTCGTACTTCTGTCGGGAATTTATTACTTCCGAATAACGCTCGGAAACTATACGAGGGTTGATACCGACTGCGGCGAATATTTTCCGAATGTTCATGTATATGGTGATCAGTGATGTGATTGTCATAAGTGATGACAGATTGAATAAGAGAGGGAAATATGATCTTCGCTCCAGGTTTGTTCATAGTTGGAACCTTTCTCTTCCCAGTAAGCCATACTCTGATCACCTACTTGCTAAAGCACGTCCTAAAAGACTTGTCATATGTGGAAAGGTTTGGTATAAGTACGAGGTAAGACGTTTGAATTTCAAAATACCGGGACACAGCGCGCTGTGTTGTTGTTGCTTTTGAACTCCATTTGTTTGTTCAAATCTGAGCTTTACGTATTTTCTTCTTCCAGGATTGTCTCTGGGATACAAGCTATTGCTGCTGCAATTGTGGGTTTGCAAGGTGCTCTGTCATGTCAAGATATATTAGATGACAGGTGAGAGATCGAGGCAGAAAGGGTATATGATATCCAAGCCGGCGTCATCTCGCAGGGATGGCCAAATTTTGTGGTTTAATTTGTTTGCAAAGTTCAATTCAAGTACGATTGATGAAATTTTCCACACACACATTAACAATGATCGCTTAGGCTATTTATCCCCAAATACAGCATCTCCCGCTCCAATCTAAATAAATACCATTTGCATCCAACCCAAAACCTGCAACATTTCCCCAACGATTAAATTAATGTCTGGTACCTAATGTCTAATTTCCTTTTAATACCAAGTTTTTATTCTTTCTGGATTTTACTAAAATTTACTACCAGCCTTCACAGCTATCAATGAACTTTACATCTCATACTTACAAATTCAATTCCATTTGCGGAGAAATTTATTCCCAAATATATTTTTTGTCGTCTAATTGACCTCAGCTTATAAATTTGAATAGAAAGTCGTTCAAGTCTCTGTAAGCTTAATATGAGATCAATAAAACTGATATTTCCCCCAAATGCGTGAAAATAGTAAAAGAAATTGAGAAATATTCTTATAAAAAATTATGTAATTTTATTTTCTGTTTTGAAGCGAATGCAGATGCCTGTAAATTATTAACGAAAAAATCAGCCCCTAGATTTCGTAATTTGAGTGCCATGCAAATTAGATAAAGTATTTACTTTAAGATTTTAACTATTTTTATGCAAAACTATGTACCAAAGAATCGCCTAAAATACAGATTTTTAAATGCCAGAGTAAAGTTTTCCAGAATTTCCTCTGGCGCTCAGTCTGCATGTTGATTCGAAAGGTGTTTTACGTTTCCTTTAGCTTTTGTAGCAGCTGTTTGTGGTACAATTGTTTAAATTTCAAGCTGAGTTTGTCTTTGATAGGATTATCACACTTTTCCAGATTGTTCCTCTTTGTGTGAAATAAGATGTCAAACTTTTTGTTCTCTACAATATTCCTTTGATACCTATTCTACACCGCTGGGGTAGCCTAGGAATAACTTTACCTAATTTACTTTACACTTAAAAATCTTTGCTTGTATCTCCACATGTAGACGCCTATTTCATATCTTTTATTAATATTGATTAACCCCAGTTTAGATAATGCCTTCAATGGATATAAAACATTCCTATTTTGATTTTAGCTTCTGAGAATATTTGGCAAGAGAAGAGATTCAAACAAAATTCAAAGCATTCAATTTTTTTATAGTATTCAATCAAACATCCTTAGTACATAATATTTAATTAAAAATATATACCCCTGCAGTCACAAAGTCTTAGGATATAATATCTTTAGGGCTAAGTGATTAATGTAACTGTATTATTTGAGGTTTCATCTGAGCTCTCTCCACTCATTGTGGTTCATATTTTTGTGGTCTAAGATCTAAACTATAGCAATATAAATATAATCTAGCAAAACGGCTTGCTAATACTACAAGCATTGTTCAATTCAAAGCTTCAACTTTATTACAACAAGCAAATGATAAAAACATTTTATGTTATTTTTTCCCCCCAATTTTTATTATTATTATTTTTTGCAGGGTCTGGACCATCCGTAAATAATTCACCCAACTAATGAATGAACTTTAAATTTATTTTGTTGTTCTTCAACAATTTTCAAATATGCTTTATTACTTCGAGCTATGTTCTTTATGAAAAAAATTCAAATGGAGCTAGACCAACAATAAACCCAAATAGCTGCTAGTTTAATTATTTTCATAAGATTTTAGTTACTTCAGGTGTGTTTTGTGGCTCGTGCTCAAAAAAGAATCAAGGTTTTCGTGGTAGTTAGGAAAGCAAGAAATATGCAAGTTCAATACACAATATAAATGCTTAGTATTAAAGAATAGATTTTAGCACTGTTTAATAGTAAAATATTTAAAAGCTCTAATAGACTATAAAAAAATGGGAGAAATGGGAATTAGAAAAATGTGGATGGGTAAATGAATAAATTATTTGTTTGATTTCTTTCTTTTCAGAATACCAGCTATCACAGATTATTTGTGCTTTGGGTTGACATATTTTTACTATGACACTGTAGTTATGTTTTATGCAGTTTATATGAAAGAAAAGGCAAAGAACCCCAGAATTGATTACATATCTGCATGGAAGATTTTTTATAAGAAAAAACGCTTGATAATTTTTCACCACATATTTTTACCCATTATTGGTTTTCCCATCTCAAATGTAAGTATATTCTTATTTTCTTCCTATTTTTAATTGTCGTACTGACATCATCATCATCACCATCCATCATCATTACTATCAACATCATCATTATCATCATCATGCATCATCACCACCATCATCATTACCATCTATCATCACCATCATCATTATTATCACCATCATCATTACCATCTATCATCACCATCATCACCACCATCATCATCACCATCATCATTATCATCATTAGCATAATCATCACCATAATTAACATAAACATCACCATCGTCATCGCCAATATAAACATTAACATAATAAACATTAACGTCATCACCAATAATCGTGATCCTCATCATCACCATGTTAATCATCATCATTGTTCCCATTATCATCATAACCATCATCATCATCATCAAAGTGTAATAATTATTAGAAATAATTATAAGAAATGACAACTTTTCATTATTACATCATCAGTCTTTACGAAGCATTAATTTCCCATTTTATTTTTYCCCCAGTTTTCCTGGATAAGAAATGATAAAGGAGACTTTTTCATAGCAGTTTTGTTTATGTCAGAATTCAGTACACCTTTCCTATCCATAAGAGCAATATTGGCAAAGGTAAGAAAGAAATCAATATATTAAATTGCATAATCCATCTTTTTTAAAGGATATCAAATTTGTAACTTTTCTTCGTTTCTTTGCAGCTTGGCAAAAAGAAGTCGCCACTCTACATTATAAATGGACTTTTGCTAGCAATCGTATTCTTTGTTTTCCGGGTATTGGTCTATCCGTACTTGTACTGGAAATATGCAAATTTCAAAAACATTAGCTACTTTGAAGTTCCATTTTCCATTCCTCTGTGTTGCAATGTTGCATGTTTCTTACTGATGAGTCTGCAAGTCAATTGGTCGTATATTATTCTAAAAGGATGTTTCAAATACTTACAAAATGATCAATCCAAGCAAAAAGAGGAACTGGTCAACTGCAGTGCACATTATTCTGGACAACACACTTCAAGTAATTTTGAACTGAATTCTACTCTGCACAAACAAGATTGAAATTTATGGTTTATGGTCCAATATTTTCTAACACATATAAAGATTATTCTGGCAATTGTAGCTGAATACCAAATTACATATGAAAGTCATACAGCATCCTCCAATGTTATTAAGATTGACTTTTAGTCTTGTAGTCATAGGTAAGCTTTTGTCATGCACAATAAGGGTTGAAGACTTGGCAATACTATACTAGCTAGTCATTACACCTTGTAATTTATCTTAAATCTAAAATCCCATTTTGTAGTAAATTATGCATATGCTTAAGGGGATTATTCATTATCCTTGGACTTTTAAACATATTTTATTACATTCTAAGATAAATTATTGATGTAATTACATATACCATAGCCTGCTTCTATGGCTCTCTCATGCATTGGATGAAAATAATGATACTTGACAACCTCGTTGGAATTTTGCAAGGGTTTAATTGCTAAATAATCAATTTTAAAATAATATTTTACATCAAAAATTACTCATTTCATCAATTCACTGTGAGCCAATCTTCAGGTTTACACTAACTTTTGTATTTATATTAGTAAGAGTAGATTATTATYATTATTTCTAAATGTAAATTGGATTCAGATGAATTTACAGAACTCATGCTATTTTATGAATATTTAATGAGATGATGACAATTTTTGACAAATTGGCTTTAAGTTTCAATTTTTTTAATGAGCCAATAATTTGAATAACATAAGTTTTTATTTATATTGAAATTGGAAATAGTTAAGAATAACAGCTCAGATTTATTGTTGGGGGCTGTTGGCCATGTGACTAATATTATGACACATACCTTACCAACATTCTGCCAACACCATACAAACGCATGTTTATCAACCTACTGACACCCTACCACCATTCCACTGAAACCCTTCCAACAACCCACTGACACCCTGCCAACAACTCACTGACACCTTACCAACAACCTACTGACACCCTACCACCAACCCACTGACATCCTACCAACAACCCACTGACATCCTACCAACAACTTACTGACATCCTACCAACAACCTACTGACACCCTTCCAACGACCTACTGACATCCTACCAACACCTTACTGACATCCTACCAACAACCTACTGACACCCTTCCAACGACCTACTGACATCCTACCAACACCTTACTGACATCCTACCAACAACCCACTGACACCCTTCCAACAACCTACTGACACCCTTCCAACAACCTACTGACACTCTTTCAGCAATCTACTGATACCCTACCAACAACCTACACTCCCCCCCAACAAGTTACACACCCTACCACCAACATAATTTAACCCTACCAACAACCTACACACCTTACCAACAACCTACACACCCTACCAATAACCTACACACACCTTACCAACAAATAACTGACACACCCTACCAACAACCTACACACCCTACCAACAACCTAATTACACCCTAAATAAAAATATTTTGACACAGCATAGACATCCTATACAATCGTAAAGAGACACACTACATGTCACTGTTACCATCATACCAACACATCAACAACAAAGCCATGTTACCATCAACTACCAACAATAATATTGAGACATTATTACCAGCTATTCCAGCACAAAGTTTCAGCTATTGTACATTACTCTATTCGCTTGCAATTTAAAAGCTTTGTAAATAGTAAATGCCAAGAGAACAATTTCCTATTTGAAGTGAGATTTATAATTTATACATTCTGTGCACATAGCTATTAAATTATTTATTATTATTAAATTTCTGCACATGGACACAGTCAATACAAACCTTATCAATAAGCGTTTGTATTTGTTTACATTACAATAATTTTGGATACAATTTGATGAATTTCTTTTTTTCAGAGATGATCCAATTTTTTGATAGTTCTTAAGTCAGCAGCTAGTCAAACAATGTGAAAATTAACTTATTGAAAATTGGAGCCATAACCCTAATGAATGTTCTGGTTGAGCAACTATTAGTCACTGAATAATATTATTTGTTCCCAACAATTTTGTATTTATTTCATGTTTTTCCTGCATGTGCTCTATTTATTGTTCAGAATGAACCAGAAAGATATTAGACTGTCCTCTTTATCTCTTCCGATTATTCAAATTTATCAATTCTACTATCTTTGCAAATAAAATACTGAAATAAATTCTTTTATTGACACTGGTTAGTTTCAGTCGTACYCTAACTGACACACATTGACCTTGTTGTGTGTCTCATAGAAATTGATTTCAATAGATTTTTTTGGGTCGGGAGTAATGTTTTCCCATTTTAGACCGACCACGTCACTCTCTTGAGAATAAGATTCTTTGCTAGGCTCATATTTATTCAGGTGTCTTTTCGTGTGCAACTATTAAACAAAGAAATGATTCTCAAGGGAATGATGAGATCTGCAAAGGGAAAACATTACGCACAAGCTCAAAAGGTCTATTCTGTCTACTTTTGGAGTGGTGATGCAACAGCTGCAGAAGTGGCAAACTGCAATTTGTGGCTGCAGGCAACAGTTGAGCACCATCCATCTGCACCTTTTGACTCTTCTATGTTTACCACTTGCCTGGAGTCGTGCTTTACCAAGAAAGTGAAGAGGTGAGATTTCCACCAATCATTTTATTGTAGTGTGAGTGAGCTAGTAACCTTAAGTCCTTGACCCTTCGAAAATAAATGCTACCCCAATATCAAATAAAAATTAATTTTAATATCACTATCTCAGGGCTAAATACCTTTCAAACATTCAACTATGACAGAGATGTAAAGGAAAACAAAGAAATAGCTATGAACTTAAAATGGAGTAGCCATGTTTTACAAATCACTTCAAAATTAAAGTGGCAATGACAAACCACAATGTTTCAGTGTGTGCTTGGTTTTTTTACAGTCTGCATTCCTTCTCAGTATGAGTACACATTTTCAAGACAACAGTCTTTATGACAGTAAAACATGTTACCAAATGCTGTTACGTTAAGATGGCTTTCCATTCTTCGAGATACAAAATGGCTTCAAATTTGCCATATATTGTTCCCACTCATGAAAACTGCTTTGAATAGATTATGACAACTGCTTAATAGATGGATTTAGTCTTAATGTTTTTCCATTTTCAACAATCACTGTCATTCCCTTGAGCATAATGTTGTTTATTTGTGTCATGCATATCAAATTAAAAGGTTACAAGCAAACAAAGAAATGACTCTCTAGGGAATGACTTGTGGTCTAGAATAGGGTAGTATTGCACGCAGACTAAATCAGTCTTATAACTTTTTGAAAAGAATCGCATTACAATCTGCAAAGGCAAAACAAGGTTGGGAGGAATACTCCAATAGCAATACAGATTGGAAAGAGCATGCTTGTGTCGTCATTTGCATATGGGTYGTCAGCTTTTGGTCCTGAAGTTTTGCGGGGCTTTTTTGGTTGTTCTATTTTTTGACTCTCTTCAACTTCATCCTTTTCTTCCTCTTCGTCTTGAGGTCCTGCTAGTGGTGATAGCTTAGGAACATCTATAATTTTTGGAAAAAATTTATAAGGCATATTTAAATACATATTTCAATATCGTTAGCCCATTTCACTTCATTCTTAACTACACATCAATAAGCAAAATTTTACCTTCAAGAGTTCCTTTCATAACAACTATCGCATTGGTCTTGGGATTATCATATACACCCTGTAGGATTATTAATAGAAAAAGAATACAATTTAGTAAAAACTATCACTATACACCAAATTAAAATATGGCAACCAAATTGATAACTTTTTTTCTGCACTGACTAGCGACTGACTAGCCTTGTGTTCACATGGAAACATAAAAGCTTTTTCACATTTATGAGAGGCTAGTCAGTTGCTGGTCAGTGCAGAACAATAGTTATTGTGATCTCCCTAGATGAGCTGTTATGGCTCTTGGAGCTAACAATGAGATTAACAAATTGACATCAGAATTTTATGTGTCTGTCCTCTTATTGACAATAAATTGCGCCATCACATTGTCAAAGTAGTCTCCGCATACTACTTTGACAATGTGATGGCGAAATTTATTTTTCAATAAGAGGACAGACACATAAAAATCTGATGTCAATTTGTTTTTTACAATAACAAAAACGATAAAAACTTCTCATTTTTAGCGATCAAAACAACCAACGGAAAGAGCGCGCGCTCATTGACGTCAGCTTTATCTGTCTGTCCTCTTATTGATGATAAAAAATAACCAATCAGCGTGCGAGAAATTTGTAAGTTAGTGTAAAAAAATATATGGTTAAAAAAAAAAAAAAGTTATTCAAATTGGTTGCCATATTTCAATTTCTGTGTATAAAAGTAACTAACATGTATGTGCCATAAATCAGTACCGACGTTTCACACTCATAAGAAAACCATGGGAGGCCATTTCCATTTTACTACATATCAAGCTGTATAGGTGCTGTAAGTTAGTACTACAGCTGTATGCGTTTCCCACTCATTTAAAAACTGTTCGATCCACCATATATAATACAGGATTTTTTCCCAAAAATATATGCACTTTATAGGAGCTAAGATAGCTTTTCGGTGGCGTAACCAGGGATCGGGAGGATGCACAGGCAATGATTTGCAGAACTAAAATGCCATAGAAAAAACAGAACCAAAAAAAAAGGGAGGGGGGGGGTATTTTATTTCCTTCACCAAATATGCTAAATAGCGTAAAATATAAATGAATCACTCAGCAGTTGTCCTATTTATAGGAAATATAGGAGGTTTTCTTTAAATATAGGCTCTTTATAGGATCCTATACAAATTATAGGAAATATAGGATATATAGGAGGTCTGGGATGCCTGATAATATAAGACTCTAATGAAAGGCTCCAGAACTGTGCAATAGAAGTGAGCACAGTAACTATCTGCTTACACTGTACCTTTATAAACTCCACATGAATAGAACCAGTAAAAGGTAAAGTTTCTCCCTTAACTCGCATCTGATTGTCCATAATTGTGAAAGGAACATACTCATCATGTGCAACTGCTCGGCCTACTTTTTCATAAATATCTAATCCTTGGATAACCGTATGTGAGTTAATTGCAACATCAAATACCTGAAAACAGCAAATTAAAGATGTCACATTAATTGGTTGTAGAAGTACCCTCTGAAAAGGCTATTGTCTAGGAAATTTATAGTGTCAATACTGCTTCTGTCAGCCCAATAAAAAATATTTATCTTTAAGTGAAAACAAACAAAATCTAGATAAGAATAGCTACAAAACTGCTAGTTTTCATAGTGGCCATTTTGGCCGACAAGAGTGCCACGTTTGTTACTTCCTTTGTCATCTCGGAGTGACTACAAATCATTTATCGATGAGGTGAAATTGTATAGTCCACTTTCTGTTTAGATAAATATTAAATGGAAGAGCTACTATATAAAAATTTGGAGTGGGGCTAGCCAGGGCTATTGAACAGAATCTGGAAATTGAGAGATCTACGTTGCCTGTGTTATAGCCCAAAAGTTTCAGACATTTTGGGTCCTAAAGATTTTTACTCCTAGCACGTTCTCTTGGTTGAATTTAAAACAATGCCTAAGGTGAAGAATTTTGGATTTCAAATATATCTTTTTCTGACCACAAGTTTTCACTCTGTCCTGTCTGTACATGATATCCTCTGACCCCAAGAAATATACAACACTATCCGGAGCATAAAAAATAAAAGACTTTCCATGACTAGAATTATAATAAATATTTCACTATGCTAAAAGCATTTTTCGAGCTGAACAATTTCAATATAGAAAAATACTTAAAAAATAAAAACAATTTCTTTTTTACATTTCACAAATGTTTAAACATCAAAATAAATTCTATGTCCAAAAAATTATCAAACAGCATTATTCTATGTTTTCAAACAACACTTGTGTTTTTATTGTCCAGGATCATGTAAAAGAAGTAAGGTTACATACTGAAGCGTCTAGGAATCACTAAAGAAAATGTAATAAGCGTGACCAAGCGACGGAGATGAGAAAATATTATAACTGAAAATTATTGTCTAAGGGGATTTGGAATGCAATAATCAATCATTCCTAAAGTCAGGAAAAAGTTATTTTAACAATTTAGAAAACAAAGACTACCAAAAAAAGTTAAAAAAAATAAATAAATAAGCTTACGTGTCTCCTAACAGGTTGATATTAAACTTTACCTTAAGTCTTGGAGCTTGAAAATACACCTCACAAAACTTCAAGATTAAAACATAATCTCCATTCTCCTTTATAGGAATCGTGTAGCCAAAATTTGACAAGTGATAACGTTCAGTTTGGTAAAGTATCTGGTCAGGGGGAGCAACTCTACCTATAGTTAACATTTTGCCAAAATCGGATGGAACACCGACGCCTAGCTGATCAGCTTGGTAGTGCACTCCATTCAAGTCTGTATGCGCCGGCCCTCCATTGTTAACGGCGTAGATCACTTCGCCAGTTGATAAAACATCTCCGGTAAGGACTCCAATGATGAGTGTGACAATGAGATCTAAACAAATGGGGTCCATTTTCGCTGGTTTGGATAAGAATAGTAGTCAAAAATACAGTGGAAACTGGAGGATGAAGTTTGAAAAGCAGATGGAAAAAATGGAGGAACGTGGAAGACTGGAACTAGTCTGATGGGTTGCCTGTGGTGGAGTACAAGTAAAGAAGGCGCGCAGGCCGGAAGCCCAAGTTTAATCTAAAAAACACAAAAGTATTTCAATATTGTTGCTTCCTAACAGTCATAAGCATACTTATGGTGCAATAGGTTTACCTCCTTAGAATATAGTAGAATAAAATAAAATAAGAAAAGTAGCTTTTAAGTTTTAAAAATTATTTTTTAAATTATAATGCAATCTTTATTGATCAAAAAACTATTTGATTGTTTCACAATAATATCTTTCTCTTTTTTCAGTTTACTCTTTTTTCTTTTCTAAACCTTTAAAAAAATTATTACAGATCTCTCAAAAGTCTATTTACGGGCTACCTGTAGTGTCCGCCCTTGACTCATCCCTCAAACGAGGTTCTCCTACAAGATTCCAACATGTCGGCCATCAAGTCGTTGAATCCAAAAGCTGAAGTAGCACGCTTCTCTGCAGCCCTAGAAGTCAATATGACGGCTGCTAGAGGACTACAAGATGTACTGAAGACTAATTTAGGACCTAAAGGAACTATGAAAATGTGAGTAGTTTAATGAAGCCAAATACATTCGTTTCTAGTGTTGGGTACAACACGTGTGTTGAGTCTTGTACCGGCAAACTGTCAGTGTGTTGCTATGTGGCGAAGAACTTCAATATTCGTACTGAAAAAAGTACTCAAAAGTGTATTTAAAGTCAGAAGTTATTCATTATGAAGTGTACAAATCTCCCATGTTTAAAATTCTTTGTAAAATTGTACTTATTTGAGGACTTATACAAGTGACAGTACAGTCGGCCGTTGTGAGTAAAAAACTGAATTTGTACAAGACCACTAGTTGGATTTAGTTCATGATTTCCATTCCCTCTTTAAGCTTCACTTCAACTCATAATTTTCAAGGTTTCTTTAAGTCTTCAAATTGTAATACACTTTTTAATGTATAATTCCATGCTACATCACACACCCATTTTCTTCCTATATTCCACAATTTGAACCCATTTTATTAAAACACTGTGTATGGAATAGCAGTACTGTAAGTTACATGTAAACTAACCTGATATCAAATTACCACATGTGGTCCATTACTCTTTAATGACAGGGTCAAATATATTTTTTAATATGATTCTAAAGGTTGAAAGGGGTTAGGATTTTCGCAAGATGGTTTTGGAATGTAAAGTTTGATCAAACTAAGAAAAAAGTTTGCCTTGTACTGTATTTCCTAACATAACATGGTACTTAGTTGTATTTCAGGGGACTTCATGGGGGTACATTTGGGGGGGGGGGAGGGTAGGAAGGAATTTGAAGAAACTACTAAGGGGGCTGTAGTATCTTCCTGGGGGGGGTACTCTGCCAGAATTTGGGTAGGGGTGTTCCGCTGGGATTCTAAAAGGGGTACCCTATTTATGACAAAAAAAAATCGTATTTGTAGACCCTGTTTATGACAAAAGATATAATTAATTGCACTGAGTTCCTGTTTCAATTATCATGTCATCTCACGTATCATTTTTTTACGACCATGGTAACCAGTTTCAGTCAATATGAAAGTAGACATCCTGAATATGACAAGAAAGTCAGGAAGAATTTGGACCTTGAGTGAAATTGCATACCCTGTTTATGACAAGAAGCTCGAAAAACCATACCCTGTTCAGCGGATCATCCTTGTATAGTTCATATATGGGAATACCCCCCCTCCCCCCGGGAGTATCTTTAAGGCTTTCACGCTTGAACATGATAGTAATAGTAAGGGGCTGGTCATTTATTACCGGAAGGGGGGCCGACAGTTTTTCAAATATGACCAAGAATTATGCAAATCTGGCTCGGACGCAAGCCGTCAAACTTAAATCTGACCCCCTTATTACAAGCACACAAGTATTTAAATGTTTATTATCCCCCAGTACCAATTGATGAAAGAAATCAATATTTTTTAAAATGACATCCCCCAAAGTCAACCCCAAGCAATTCTTCCAGCACATCTTCTCAGGTAATGAATGACCAGTCCCTATTTTTCATTATTTTTGAACATGCTACACAAATGGACCTAAAAATGCTGAAACACTTGCTAAGAAATTAAGTAACTTGCCACTACAACCAAATAGTCTTTGCAGTCTTTTTGATGTGTCCATCTTTTTCACCAGGTTGGTTTCTGGTTCTGGTGATATCAAGTTAACCAAGGATGGAAATGTTCTTTTACATGAAATGGTGAGTATGTTTTGTAGTTGAATAAGATACAGTATACCTCAGATATTGAGACTGTAAACATCCTTTGTTGTAGGAAGATTCGTAAGAAAAACAGTCATGTGACCTCTTCATACCCTTTCAAACACATTCTTATACATAAAAATAAAGGCACCTTGAGAATCTCAAACCTCTTATTCGTAAACTTGGGGTACCCGCATCCTATGGACTTTCAAAAAATGTACCTTTTGAACATTATTCTGACTTGTGTTTTGAGGGTACTATGGATTGTTTCATTTTCCTCACTTCACAAGAATCAAAACCTATAACAAGAAACACTTTTAAATCCACATAATTTAATATTGATTACATTTGACATATTCAGTGCTACTGTATTCCAACAGAATATTTTCATTTTTTCATCCAGCAAATTCAGCACCCAACTGCATCCCTTATAGCAAGAGTTGCAACAGCTCAGGTAAAAATAAAATGACCCTTAAATTTTATGATTATTCAGAGAACAAGGCAAAGTTTTCTACAGTAATACTTCTATTACACAAGTTCCTTATTAAGCAGACATTCTTCATTAAACAAACTGCTAGTTCTTGAACGGTTGAGAAATTTTCTTCCTATATTTACCATATTATTAAGCAAACCGCTATATAGCAGTGTCTGTTTAACAGAGGTACAAGTGACAGTATTTTATTCAGTCTGCATTTATATTATGATAAATCCTTAATCATTGACAAATGGATATTCTTTTAGGATGATATTACTGGTGATGGAACCACTTCTAATGTATTAATTATTGGGGAACTTCTGAAACAGGTTTGTCTTCTAATTATTTCTCTCTCTATATAAATTTTTTTATTTTATTTCGCTGACCCCCTCCCTTCCAGAATTTCCAATTTCCTCCATGGGTGGCGTATGGATATTTTCTGGAGTTACACATTGCAAAGGAACTCAACTAAGAGAGTAGTGAAGCTTGTCAGCCTAAGAGGGCTGTTTTGAATTTTTGCTTTCCTTCTCACAAGGATTTTCTATATAGTTATGTTTTCTTTGTATTTTCTTAATTTTACTATACCAAGATTTTCTGCTAATTGGTATTACTCTTTCTCTTTCAATAGGCTGATTTATATATATCAGAGGTATGTATTACACTGCATTACTTATCACTAATATATTGACTTAGTAAGTGGAAAATGATATGGCATAGGTGTACTGAAGACAATATATGCTGCTGGTTTATGGAGTATAAAGCTGTTTGTGCAAATTCATATTGTTCATATTTTAACTTGTATTCATATGAAAACTGATATATCTAGTTTACAATGTGTATTGAGTTTTAATCTCTTATCATTGTTCTAATATTGATATTATAACGTGCAGGGCTTACATCCAAGGGTTGTGACTGAAGGCTTTGAAGTTGCTAAGAAAAAAGCTTTAGAGGTGAGTTTTATGTTAAGCTTTGAAATTGTGGAGTAGAGTTTATATACATCACATGTTAATAGATTTTGTGGGATCCCCCCCCCCCCCCCCCCCCTTGATTGGAGGGTTTGATTTCCCTCTTGGTCTATCCATTTTCTTTCCTCCACAATACCCTGACATTAAATTCCATTTGATCTCCTAGTTTGTTGTGCCCTGACTCTGATCAGTTGTTTCATTGTTTAATAAGGCTTTGTCATGTACATGAAACCATACTGTTATAATGGTGTTTTACAAACTATGTATAAAGTCTATTGCTCATCAATACATTTGTATAGGTCATTGAATGATCAGCAAATGGTTGCCAAAATGTTCAACAATAAGTCAACAGTTGCTTGACTGAGTCAATCGACAGATGGTTGCTGATAATTACTATGACCTGTGTAGCATTGTCATGTCAACAAATATTTGTCAAATCTATTAATGCACAATAATTCAATAAACTGTATTGATTATTATAGATTTTGGATCAGATCAAAGTAACCAAGGAAATGGATAAAGAAATCCTCATGAACGTAGCAAAAACATCTCTTAGGACAAAAGTACATACAAAACTAGCTGATCTCCTAACTGAGGTAAGGAAAGCAAACCATTTTTCTATATAATTAGATAATCCAAGGGCAGGGTGAGTGGTCTGAATAGTGGTCAGAGGCAGAACCAGCCAAAAATGTAAGGGGGACTTGATGGAATTTTGTGAATGACATTACAGAACTTTGAAAAAATTATTTTAAAATATGCTTTCTATTCTACTAGCTTCAAGGAACATAACCAATTTCCTCCTGGAGTGGGGGCTGTAGCCCCCCTTTACACCCCTCTGGATCTGCCCCTGGTGGTAGTGCCTGACTGCAATATTCTCAGTTCCCTCTATTAAACAGTGTACATACAATAGTTTTCAGTCAAAAGACCTAAAATATACCCTTCATAGTTTATTCACTGTGAACATTTTTGCTATGTTTTTCCTTTCATACAAAATTAAAATGAAATGAAATAGTAACCCCAAAAAAATTGGGGACTAGGGCAACCCTAATTTTGTCACCTATCCACCATAACGTTCCATCTTTTACTTGGAATTTCCAAAATTGAAGAACAGTGTCTTCTTTTGTATTCCAACTACTTCTTTTGTATTCCAACTACTTCTTTTGTATTCCAACTAC